ACTGTCTTCACGCAGCTGCTAGCTGCAGAGGCAAACTGGCAGGCCCAAAGTTTTCCTAAGAAAGTCCCAACAGCTTTCTGCTGTTCGAAAGACCATCCCCACAGACATCTAGCACGCCACCCCTGCCTCCGGCCCTAGCGCTCACCCAGGTCACACAAAACACACCTGTGGGTGGCTCACACCTGGGCCTCAGTACCACAGACCCCTCTGCTCGCTCTGCAAGTTCCAGTTCAGGCACCTCCTCCTTCAGGAAGCCCTCCTTGAATCCCCTGGCCCGAATTCCCGGGGCTCACTTCCATCAGCGCACCGGGCACTTTCTCCTAAGGGAATGGGTTTTCCACTGCTGGGATAGTGCCGGAGCCTTAGGAGGAAACAGTGTGTCAGATCTGACCTTCCATTCCCAGCTCTTGGCACAAAGTTTGGCACAAACATCTGGGTAAACCCAGGAATCAGCTTGGCAGTGGAAAAAAAAAAAAAAAAAGGAAAAGAAAAGGTCCTGAGGGGCAGAGAAGTGGTGGTGGCCCCTTTAGAAAAGATCTGGTGACAGAAAGGCAAAGAGAGTATTTGACACAGAGAAGGAAACCAGTACTAGTAAGGGCCCCCAAAGAGCCATGGCACTGTCTTACAAGGCCCTCCAGGACTGCAGGATGTCCAAGAGCCCCAGTTCCAGAATGCTGCTCCCAAAGCCTGCTGGTCCTCGTTTCCAGGTGCCAAGGCTGAGCGGGTCCCCGCAGCCCCCAGGGGCCCCAGCAAAGCCAGGGGCTGCTCTGAAGCCAGGTCCCCCACCCTGCCCATCCTGTGTCAGCCCAGACCCAGGCTGGGGGCACAAAGGCGCCAGCTTCCAGACTTCAACACTTTGCAGCTCCATTTGTTACATGATTTAAAATAACAAAGAAAAGTCTGTTACCAGATTTAAAATCCTTGTTATATTAATATGCCAAGCATCATCTTTTTATAATCAAACTCAATTATCTATATATTTTCTGTTTCTTGACAAAAAAGAGAGGCAACTTCAAATCTGTAATAAATGTTTAATATGCCTATTTGCTTCACTCCCGGATTCCTTTTTTTTTTCCTTTAAAAAATTAATCAAATCTACCACACCTTTCCAACCACAAGTGTTTTCAAGTTGCAAGTCCATGACAATGCACTAGGCTTTACGATGGAGAGATCAGGTCTGGGTCGGGAAGGGATAAATACCAGTGCCACCAGGCCCTGAGCAGGGAACAGGATTAGGTTTCCTTTTGCAGGCGGAGGGAAGGCACAGGAGTTCCAAGAGTTGCATGATTTCCCTCAGGACAGGAATCTGGTGATTGGCAGATCTCTGGACCCAGAGCATGTGTTCTCTCCACCCTCCCAATTGTTCCAGCCCTTAAAGTTGACACCTGCCCTTGAGAAATTTCAAAGACAGTGAAATTTTAACAGGATAAACAGCTGAGAACAAAGAAAACTTCACTCTAGGCTCAGTCCCTTCTACATAATTAAATCGGCCCAGCTTGATGGGGAGGTTTTCAGAGGCAGCACGCATGAAACTATCTATAAAAGGAAATGCAATTAAGGAGAGTCTTTTCAATATACCTAATTCTTGACTGCCCTTGCCCTAGGCATAAATTTAATTCTACTTAAGGACAACTACCTTTAAGAAGTTGTGATGTAAATTATAAGGCAAGGGGAGAAAAGGAACAGGAGCCATTTTCCCAGGTAAATGAGAAAGGCTGAGAAGGCTGAGAATTACCCGGTGGTAACTGATCTCTAATTTACCGTGATGGCCATCTCAGTCAGCGAACCACCTAACACCCGGGCCCTACAGACCCTATGCAACCCCACCCTGCTATCATGTATTACACTGCTTCCCCTAAATCAACCTACCAACCAAGCAAAACAGGCAACTCTTTTCAGAAATGAGCTGATCACGAGTTGACAATAATACATTTTAAAAACCTGACCTCGGGGCGCCTGGGTGGCTCAGTCAGTTAAGCGGCTGCCTTTGGCTCAGGTCATGATCCCAGGGTCCTGGGATCGAGCCCCGCATCGGGCTCCCTGCTCCGCGGGAAGCCTGCTTCTCCCTCTGCCACTCCCCCTGCTTGTGTTCCTGCTCTCGCTGTGTCTCTCTCTGTCAAATAAATAAAATCTTTAAAAAAATAAAAATAAATAAATAAAATAAAAAACCTGATCTCTCGTTAATTCCAGCTGGAAATGGAAACTACAACAAATGCCCAGGTTTCTTTTCTAAAACTGTTAACTCCCAAAGAGGTGAGGGGGGCGGTTTGTGTATCAGCAGCAGTGGGATTACTTGGGAGGGGGAAGGCAGCAGATGGGGCAAGTCACTATCTCAAGAAAGCATGCGGCCCTAGTTCAGGGGTCCTGACCCACAGCTGTGGCTCTGGGTCCGCTCTGCCACGCACTCCACCACGCCAGGACAGGACACAACAGCGGGATGGGGGCTCCTGACCGCCGCCTGGCATGGAGAGGGGTGCCATGCACGGCTCTGGCCGTGGAGTGAGTGGCATCGCACGGCCGGCACACAGCAGCTCTGGGCGTCTTCTTCAGCCTTCGGCCGGGGACACTCACTACAGCCGCTTCAGTCCGAAGCGCTAGGCTCGGAAGAGGAGGCTGAAAGGGGCAGCTGCGGAGGGTAAGCCCCTTGCCACTAAGTCTGCCATTTCTGAAAGGTCACTGGGCTCTGCAAGGAACCCGGACTGGAAGAGCCAGGAGATCTGTTCATTCATTCTTCCGCCCCCAAGTGCATACCGAGCACTTCCCGGGGCCGAGCACTAATAGGGGAAGGAAGTACAGCCAAGCCCGCCAAGTCTGGGTTTCATCCCAAACCGGAGGAAGTGGGGAAACTGCACGAAGTCGACCTCTCTGAAGCGTTGTCCCTCCTCAGTAAATGACACACAAATTCGCATCGCCGGGAGAACGGAGCAGCAAAACAGCCTGAGGCCAGTGCCAGCGTGTGGACGGTGCTGTTAACCACAGGAGGAACCCCAAGCCCAGGGTTGAGGGTGTCGGACCAGGTGTTAAGTGGAAAGTCCAACACCTACGGGGGCGGTCAGCAGAGAGGCTGGTTCGGCGGCGAAACCAGAGGCGGCTGCCCGGAGGAGGTGATCTGAGCTTAACTTTAAAGGGTAAGGAGCAGAGCGGCAGGTGGAGGGCAAACGACAGGCCATCGCAGCAGGTTTCACAGCCACCAGCAGCACCGTTACTCCCCGGCGTTTGTGGCTCCTTCTGCAGGACACGAAGCCGTCCTTCCGCAGCCCGGTCGAACCCCGTCCCTACATGAGTCTAAAGGAGCTACCCATTTCACAGAGGAGGAAACTGAGGCCGGGCAAGAAGGCGGCCCCAAGCCGGGACCGCAGATCAGAGTTGGCGGGCGGGGATTCGAACCTCCCGCCGGCCACGCCGCCTGCGCTCCGTCGCACGCGCGCGGCCGGCCCTGCCCGTCGCCCTGGAAACGGCCCCGCGCGCGCGCAGTCTCCCCTCGCTCACTGTCGACTTTTTTAAAATAAAACCCCGAGGCGGCGGGATACCGCCAGCGACTGAACGTGCCGTCGAAGGACGCCGCTACGTCCGCTCTCCGCCCTGGGCCGCGGATCCCTCCGCCGCACGGCGGCCCGCGCGCCTCCTCTCGACTCCAAACTCGAAGCGGGTTCCCGCGCGCCGCGCCGCACCCCACCCCCACCTCATCCCCACCCCAACCCCCAGCCCGGCTCACCTGCCGCCCGCGTCTCCATGGCAACGCCCCCACCGCGGAGGAAAAAAAAGCCTCGGGCTCTTCCGGGCTCCACCCGCGCCGACCGCGAAGGCGAGGCGCCCCGCTGATGCTTCGCTTTTTATTTTTATTTTTTTAAGAAAAGAGCCGGCGAGGTTATGGCGAATCTGCGGCATTCAACATGGCGGATGGAGCCTTCGCCCTCCTCTTCACGGGGCGCTGACGCCGGCGTAGCGTACGTCAGCCTCGGGTGACCCTCCCCCAGCGCCGAGCGCGTCTAGGCTGGGCGGTCTAGTGCGCATGCTCCGGTCCGGCGGCTGCGCTTCGTATCCCGTTCCGCGGGTTCCAGTGCTCCGCTTTTTGAGCCACTCCTGGGACGGTGCTAACGAGAGGCCTGGAATCCGGATCGCAGGATTGGGAGTCTTCCCGTTTCTGCCGGGAGCCAGCCAATCTACCTGCCTGCGCATCCTTGGTCTCACCTGACGTGGAGCCACTGGGCTGGACGTGCAAGACTTCTGGGTTCGTGTCCCAGTTCTGCCCTTTACTAACTAATTTGGGGCAGCGACTTAACTTTCCTTGGGCTCAGTTTACTAGTTTGTCAGTCGGGGTGGTTACAGCCTGCCTCCCTTTCGAGGGTTGCTGTGTTTCCCCGAAGCGGGATGCTCTCCGCTGGGGGCACCCGGCTCGATCTAGTCCGGGTCGTACAGCCAGAATTCAGCAGCCTGACGCCACCTGGAGAAGGTGAGCGCCTTCCGTCCTGACTGTCGTGCAGAAAGTCTCAGATGCGTGGAGCACGCGTCTGGAAGGCCCGCTCCTTTTCCTGAGCCTGGCGCGCAGCCTCCTTTCTGCAGGCAGCCTGTCTGCTCGAGATGTCATGGCCTTGTTTTCAGTTTTTGTTGTGAAGGGGATCCGCTCTCGTGACCTCTCCAAGGGGGCCCTCCCGCACCACCGCATCCCAAGTAACCCTCCTGGGTACCTGTTTTCTACACAGTATCTGTGAGCGCCTGACATGAATTCATCTCCATCTGTCTTGGTCACCCCTTTGGCCCCAGAAACTAGAAATGAGCCTGACAGTTATGTACTGAGTAAATTAATGGGTTTTGTGTTGCTTGTATTTTTAAGGCTATCTCTTGTTACAACAAACGATGTTTTTCATTTTTGGTAGTAATATAGTTTTCTTTTTAAACACAACTGCTTTACATTTTTAGTCAACTTTCAAGAAAAGGGTACATATGCAGAGACAAGGGGAAAAAAGGTAAAAAAAAAAAAAAAAAAAATTCCAAGGATGCGCAGGCAGGTAGATTGACTCGCTCCCGGCAGAAACGGGAAGACTCCCAATCCTGCGATCCGGATTCCAGGCCTCTCGTTAGCACCGTCCCAGGAGTGGCTCAAAAAGCGGAGCACTGGAACCCGCGGAACGGGATACGAAGCGCAGCCTCCGGACCGGTGAAAAAACCAGGTGAGATACCTGGAAAACGCTGATTTATTTTTATGGCTCCCCTGAAAAGCTTACCTTTGCCTGTTGCAAGTCTTTTTTTTCTGGAACAACCTCCACTCTGTTGCTACTCAATCTGAGATAGTCTTCGGACAGCCCGACCCTCATGCCTGTGTGTTCCCTTGGCTCTGGCTCCTATTTACCTTGTCCCATTCCCTCCTCGGTTGCATTTATATGTTTACACAGCCCCCTGCCCACGAGCCAGACCAGGAGCACAGAGCCCGCATAGGTCTTTCTCGTGCTGGTGTCCCAGGTCCTACTGCCCGTAGTAGTATTAAATGAACCCATTCGTTCCCATGGTCACCTGTGTTTCAGTAGTAAAATGCCCACGGACATTGAGCTTTAGGATGACATATCAGATTTCTCAGGAGCCTTGTGTCTTGCTCCTTAATCCTGTTCTTGGGAGATAAAGAGTCATTATAAGACCCCAAACTTGGGCAGTCCACTACATAGATGCTCAGAGAAATCTCCTTCCCCTCTCGTTTCATTTCATCGGCATCACATCTAGGAGGTTAAGTTGGACAGATATTATTATTGTTCTTTTCTAGATGAGAAAAAGAATGTTCAGAGAACAAAGGTGGCTTTTTGAGATTACACAGCAAGCCAGTGAAGACCCAGGTGTGGAATGGGTCTCTCCACGCCCCGTGTTCTTCCCATTTTACCACATCACCATCGGAGACTTGTCCAAACGACCCACCGTGCCTCCCACAGAGCCAAGTCCAAGGTAATCATAGGGTTCCTGCCACACACCCCCCACATCCTACATCACAAACAGATGGCTAGGTGGAGCCCATCACAGATTTCATTTGGAAATGAACTGCCCAAAAAGCTGCACTGATGAGCTTTTCCGTTTAGAACTATAAATATTTATAATAATCACTATTTTGCTGTGAGTCAATTTCTATCAGGAAATTAGAGTTGGTCTGGTTGCTTACAATATTGGTTTTGTGCTGGGTTGCTTTCTTGCGGTAGCAATAAATGTTAGCTATTGATTAGCAGATGGATTGCTCCTGGATGTTGTACGCAAAATGAATTTTGGAAATGAAGCAATCTAAAATTTGCCTCAGAATATTAACAAAGTCGAACTAAAAAAAAAAAAAGCAGTTGTGGATTATGGGTGATGTTAATTATTTGGACAGCTACAATTTTCTCTATTATTCCCATGGCATTTTCTTCCTCCTCTATCCAAAGAAAATTCACTGAACACTTACCGTTACTGAAAACTGGCCTGGCCACAGGCATATGGAAACAACAGAGAGTCCCTTTCTATGGGACCAGATTTGCAAATGGAGAGACAAGTACACCCCTGGCTCATCCATCACTCTGCTGAGGGCTTTGCACATTTTCAATCAGCAAACATCTTTATTCTTTTCATTTGCCAGTAATACCTCAAAATGCCTTCAATTAATGAAGAAATACCGATAGAATTAAATATAAATTGCTCAGAATTATATAATTAATGGCTCCCTACTTCCACAATGGTTCCCAGAGAAGATCAAGCTTCCCAGCTGGCCCTTTGGTGGCAATCAGCCCCTCGAGGCTAGCACATGAAAGCATTTATGTCAATAGGTTTACCAACATGAAATGGCTTCTAGTTATATAATAAATATCCTATGTAATTGAATATATTTGTGTCAATAATTTTATAATTATATCTCATAGCTGTAAGACAAATCGGCATTTACATGAAAAGAGAATATATACATGATTTTATAAGACACTTTCTTGAAAGCAGGTTTTGATAAAGGATATACACAGGTGACCTCAAAATAATGGGCCTCGAGGCACACGGCAATGATAAAATCAGAGGTGGGGATAATCACAGGCTGAGTGAAGTGTTAAAAACCTACATAGGCACACCATAGAGAAAAATCCATTTAAAATTGTATAAAAGAAAAGGGGATAGTAATATTAGAACAATATGAGCAGTCTCACTGAACAAAATTAGGACCTCAGGAGCGACGTCTTTTCTGAATTCTGTTTTTTCCGTGGCCGTCGAGGGCCATCACGTCTGCGTGTACCCTCAGTCCCTAAATATCGATCTCAGTAGTATGTTTCATTAGCGGTAACCAGGACTCCTTCAAAGTAGCTGAGTCCGTGTTTGGGAACCGGGGAAAATTGGAATGGCCTGAAACATCTTGCTATCACCAGAAAAGCAGAAAACTGCAAAAGTGCTGGGCTATTGCTGGAAGGCAGCAGTCAGCTGAGAACAGGGGGTCCCTCCCCCCAGGCTGTGATTGCTTGTACATCACAAAGAATAGCTAGGTCTCTGGTTTTTGATCTCCGGGAACAAGTTGAGTCTACGAAAGGCATGAGACTTTCATGATAAAAAAGGAAAAGTTATTATGTGTAATTACAAAGCATATTGTAATTCAGAGAAAGGGTAAAAACGGAATATTTTAGTAAGTGAGTGAATTAGGTGTATGGGGATCTGTTCCTACTTGAAGTTCCTCTACATCTGCTTATGAAGTGGTCTATCTGTACAAGTTGAGAAGAGTAGGTAAGTTTATTACAAGTAAGTCAACATTTTCCAGAAAAAGTAGAAACCATACCCAAACCAGGAAGGGCTGGTCCAGACCAGCGGTCTCATAAATAATCAGGTAAAAGAGGGTTCAGAAATGGTGTGGCAAGTTAATGGATTAGCCAAATGTCCTAGGAGGATTGCCAACAGATTCAACGGCTACCTGGCCCTGCCAATTACAATGAAATGCTAATGATGCGTAATGAAGTTCGTTGTAAACAGACAGGACATGAAGTATCTGAGACTTACTGTACATGGAGACTTACCGTACAAGAACTTGCTTGTAAGTCCTGTTGACATGGCAGTTGAACCCAGTATGACAGAGAGTGCCCCAACCAGCGAATGCCTGCTGCCAGTTGAGACACCTTGAAGGATTCTGTGGTCCAGCTAAGAATCCAAGAGTCAATGACCCCGAAGCTATGATTTCAATGTACCCAGGGAGGAGATAATCTCTCCCTTTTGGGTCTGATATGGCAATCCTGGAAAAGTACAAAAACAAGTTTTATAGCAAGAGCAAAGAAATTGGTCAAATCAATAGTTATGATTTTTACAATAGGATCTGGGTACAGTGAAAACATTTGGGGTTTTTGGGTGTTTGAAGCATTCAAGAGATGCTGTCTTAGATGTATAGTCATATTGAAACACGGTAATTTGACTTAAGTGTGTAAATGGTGAAGGAAATATGATTTGTAAGGTTTTAATTTTTTATCAGTGGTGTTTGAATAGTTTACAAAAAAGTTAATGGATTTGTAAGTATAATAAACATTCTTTAAACCAACTGCAAGCAGTAGTAACTGGGCCGTGTGAAAGAAGGGCCGCGCGTGGCCTTGGATCCCAGCAACAAGAAGGAAAAACAAGAGCGTTGCCAGAGCCTAGCGGAGTGCCAGGCTCATCACTGGGGCCCAGTAAACAGTTATGCAGTGAAGGGAGGGGGGTGGGGGAAGGGGTGAACCCAGGAGGTGAGGAAAAGGAACAATGCATAATTACACACTGATTTAATGGTTGTTGTGTGGACAGCACTGTTAGATGTTTAGGGGGAAAAGGGGGGGGATTTTGAAAAAGCAGAAGCATCTGGGCATCTGTGACTAGAGAGCTGATCCATCCAAACATGTTTCAAAGAATAAGGCTGATATAGCAGCGCAGATAAGGGGTGTGCTCTAAGATACACCACTGAGTGAAAAGCAGGGTTCAGGACGGTGTGTGGAGCGTGCTACCGCTTGGGGAACACTTTTTATTGGATATGCATGAACGCGATTATACATGCATTAGAGAGTCTGCAAATACAGAAAAGGAACTGGAGGCGGCAGACAGCTTTGTGAGAATGTCTGCACCTAGGGATCTGGGCTCACGGAGACAGTTTCCACTGAACGTTCTTCTGAAACAGCTGGAAGTTCGTCCACGAGCCTAGAATGCCTTTCCAGAGAAGAGAGGGAGGGAGGGAGGGAGGGAGGGAGGGAGGGGATTGGAAGGCCCAGCTTGGAGTTCTATGAGGTCCTAGTTCTATGACGCAGAAGCTGTGGGACTTTGGACAAGTCGCTTATGTGCACTGTGCTTTCTTTCTCGGGGCAGCGAGGTGTTGCTCCCACATCAGGGGGAACTGTGAGAGACGAACGAGGCAGCAGTTCAGAAGCTCGGTGGGCACTGTGGTGTCCATGCTGGGTCACGTCGCTTCGGTCCACCTGGGGTCCAAAGACACGGTGACACAGGGCCAGGAGAGGACAGAAGAGCACACAGAGTGTCAGGAGGTCTGCATTCCGGTCCGGGCGGTGCCACCAACCCACTATGGGACTTAGAGTCTGGATTTCAGTCCCCTTGTATGTCAAATGGCAGCGGTGGTGGAGCAGGGAGTGACGAGATGGCTTCTCAGGCCCACGTCAACAATGATGAAAGAGCGTAATATTGTTGTGAATCTTCTCATAACCGACGCATGAAAACCCCCCAGAGGAGGTCGCGATACGCAACCATCACTTAAATGTGCAGAAAGTGTGTACAAGGTTGCTGGCAGTGTATGCAGGGTCTGGTCTCGGGCAGAGGAGAGGAGGAACTTGTAGAAAGGAACAGCGGGGGCTAAGCCGACAGGTCCTGGAGCCATACCATATGCCAGGTTTCAGTTGTTCTCATAAAGGACAGCAGAAAGGAAAGGTGTCTGTGGGAAGTCCTACAACAGTGGCCCCCAATGACCCATGCCTCCCTGACATCACATGCGTGGGTAACCCCCTCCCACACTGACTTTGGCATTGACTTTGTGATGTGCTTTGACCAAGGGGACACGCACAGAGGCTTGACCAGCCCTTTCACACTGGGTATTGCCCTCCGGGGATGCTCCCCCCGGAAGCTGGCCACCATGCTGTAGGGAAGCTCAAGCTAAAATGCCCAACGATGAGGCCACATGGCAAGGGGATCCAGAGGATAAGAGACTCTCCTGGTCATTCAGGGTCCAGCCACTCCCCAGCCAATGCAGCCACGTGAGGGACATCGGCTACTCCATGGGGCACCAAAGAACCACCGGCCGGGCCCACTCAACCCATGAAATGGAGAGAAATTGGAGGTTTTTGTTGGGCAGCAATAGGGAACAGGCATGAGACATCACCCAACTTTGCCTTGCAAGAAGCTCGAATTTCAGTTTCAAGGGTTTGAGATCTCCTGCTTCAGTTTGGGGGAAGGTAGAGTCTTTAAAGCTTGCTCCCCGGAAGCAAAAGGGGAATGAGATCAACAGACCTCCGGGTGGACTCTAAGCTGTTTCAACCAAAGGAGACTTATTGAAGAAGAAAGGAGAAACTTGGCGAGGCCTTCGGGGTGATTGTAATTTGGATCAAAGAAGACAGGTCAGCAGGCGGCTCTGAAAGCGGCAGGAGCAGAAAGCACCAAGAAGGACAAGCCAGGGAGGGGCTGACCACAGAGGGGAGTCATGCCGGGAACATTCGAGGTGGCAGGAAGCAGGCATTCCCAAAGAACCCCAGAGTCAAATATTCCATGCAGCTCTTAGTTCTGCTGGTCTGGGCAACTCTCAGACCACATACATCATTTGAGGCTGTTAACCTTAAAAGTAAAACATTTTACCGGCAAAAATGGGTTTATTCCAGATTAGCAAGAGAACTGCAGTTCGGGATGAGCTAGGGCAAAAACACAGGCAAGGCCCACAAACAAAGGAGAGGAATGTTATTGTATGGGGAAGAAGGAGGAAGTTGGAAGGGGTTGTGTTGAAGGAAAGGCCACTGGAGAAAGACAGGAGGAGTTTGGGGCTGCTGAGGGGCCCCACTGCAGGGGTGGCCCAGCTCCTCTGGGGGACAACGCACATCTTTCCCATTAGGCCTGTAATTGACACTCCTTCCTGTAATTGAGGTTGAATGCTGTGGCTCCCCGCTCCAGCCCCCCAAGTACCCCTGCATGGGCCTTCTCTTTGTACCTTTCCCAAGGCCCAGAAAATATGATCACCAGGCAGAGCTGCTGTGGAGGTAAATCTCCTTGCACCTGCCAAAACGGGGAAATGAAACCAAAGAAATGATTGTCACCACATGGGCCCGATCTTCTAGAGTTTTCCATGCCCTTCATGTTCATCATCTCACACAGCCTTCCCCACCATCCTATAGGGCAGGGAGACAACAGTGAACAGAGGGATGAAGGACTTTCCCAGTGTCACCTCGGGACCGGAGACAGGGCCTCACGAAGAGCCCAAGCCTTTCTGTGTGGCCCCTCGACCACCCCCCTCCACTTCTGCAGACTTGTCCAGGGAATAAGGGCCCTGTAGCATACGGTGGGGAGAGCCCATCTTTCATGTGAGTCCCCAAGGAATGTACAGAGAGGCAGGCAGGGCGGGACCAGCAGCCCTGGGGTGTGTGCTTAGCCAGAAGAGTGGTGTGAGCTGCGCTGGGGGAGAAAGCCTAATTAGGAAAAGGTCATGGCCCGAGCCACCTGGCCCAGATCTTTGCTGTGAGATGCCACATTCCACTCTCTCTGGCTGGCCTTTGCTTGGCCGCAGGGCATTCCACATGTCCCCGCGGTTTCCCTGAGCATCCACTGGGCCTGCTGCTGAGTCTCACGGCCCCACTGGAAGTGACTGGCTGCCTTTCTCCTGATGGCGGACTCAAGGTCAATGCCAACATGGTGCCTGCCAGCCTTCTGCCTCACTTCAGTCACTGATGCTGGAGAGAGAGGAGGGAAGAGGCTCCCGTTTTAATAAAATTCTCTAAAATTCTCATATGTAGGGCGCCTAGGTGGCTCAGTTGGTTAAGCAACTGCCTTCGGCTCAGGTCATGATCCTGGAGTCCCGGGATCGAGCCCCACATCGGGCTCCCTGCTCAGCAGGGAGTCTGCTTCTCCCTCTGACTCTCCCCCCTCTCATGTGCTCTCTCTCTCATTCTCTCTCTCTCAAATAAATAAAATCTTTAAAAAATAAAATAAAATTCTCATATGTACCTTTTCAGCCCAAACCCAAAGCTCACAGGCTGGTGGAAGGCCCCAGAGTGGAGGGATGGAAGTTCTAGTCCACTCGGTGTTTGCAGTACAAGAAACGGCTTCATGTCAAACCGGACACACTTCGCCTCACCTAACATGTCACCATTTCTTAAAGATGCCGGGTCTTTTTCCAACTCTCAGCCATTGTATAGGTCTAGAATACTTTCCCCACATTCCTCCACCTGTCAGACTCCTTTACATCCTTCAAAACCCTAACCAAATGCCCCCTGCTCTGTGAAGCCGTCCTTACTCCCCAGGCAGAGTCAGTGACTCAACCAGTCCTTTTCCCTGACTCCTACATGCTGTGCCACACCTGTGAATGCACCTGTCTTCCCTGTTGAACAGGGAACAGCAGGACCTGACTCACCTCTGTCCCCCTGCCCCCCCAGGAGATGATCCGAGCACACATGGCTAACTCCGTTGGTAGCAAACTGACAATTTAGCATAAGGAAATGAAAGAACTGTTAGGATGTTTGCTGAGTAACACTTGGGAGGAATTCATTAAGAAAAAAAGGTCAGATCATTCACTCATTCCTAAAGCATTGACAGAGTGCCTACTAAGTGCCAAAATTGTTCTCTAAAGACCACAAATGTGGTCACAGCATTGGTCCCCTGGAATTTCATAACCCAATAGAGGGAATGATGCATTAGAAGAGAAGCGTAGTAGGTGCGTCATGCAGAAGAGAGAAGGGCTTGGGACTAAAAGCAAGGAGGACACAGCCCAGCCTGAAGGGTCAGAGAAGACCACTAGAAGGCATAACTCAAGGGGAGTTGGGGTGTTTGGTAGGGAGACTGCTCCAGGCAGAAGGAACAGCCAGGGACAAGGTGCAGGAGGGAAGAAACAGCAAGCTGGACACAGGACGTCTGGTGGTGATGGGAGGCAAGAAGAGAAGGAAGCAGAGGTTACCCTGTTACATTCAGAGGTAACTCTCCTTGGCCCCTATTATTCAGGCGGCTGTTTTGGGTTGTCCCTCCATAGCCCCAAGCAAAGGTGAAAGATAACTCATGCACGGAGCTCTCACCTGGCCGTCCCCCTTGTGACGGGTGGCTTACATTGTTGAGACAGGTGCCTGGATCCTGAGATGGAGCCCAGCTGGCCCAAAAGGCAAACAGGAGAAGAGCATGATGTCACCTTGTCCCCTCTGGATGACTGACACAGGCTGAGAGCTGCCTCTCACCTTACAGATGAGGAAGATTCCGGGAAAAGGAATGGTAAGATGGCACGGCAAGATAAGCAGGAATCGGGGGCCTGGGGACATGGAGCTGCAAGGACACTCTCCCTGACCTTACGGCGCTTACAACCCTTCATGGGCTCAATTGTGTCCCCCCAAAATTCATACATTGCAGCCCTAACCCCCAAGTACATCAGGATGTGACTATATTTGGAGACAGGTCCTTTAGGAGCTAATTAAGTAAAATGAAGTCGTATGGGTGGGTCCTAATCCAATATGACTGGTGTCTTTGAAATGAGACCAAGAACCAGACATCCACAGAGGGGAGACCAGGTAAAGCTACAGGGAGGAGAGAGAAAGCACCATCTACAAGCCAGGGAGAGCAGCCCCAGAAGGAAACCAACTGCGCCAACACCTTGATCTTGGACTTCCACCTCCAGACCTGAGAAGAAATGAGTTCCTGTGGTTTCGGCCACTCAGTCTGTGCTACCTTGTTATGGCAGCCCCAGCAGACTCGGACACCACCCTTGAGAAGCCAGGCATGAAAACTGCTCCGTAGCTCCTAGAGTAACAGGGAGTCTGGCCGAGCTAAACGGTGCTCTGCAGGCAGCTTAACAGAGCAGGAGACCCGAATAAATGCCCAGACCTTACTCTCCCCCCACCCTCCTGATCCCCTGCCTGTGTGTCCCCTTGGCTGACCCTCACGTGAAGTCTCCCCTTGATTGCCCCTTCACTGTACTGGGGGGAGGCCTGGGGCATGGGAGCCTCTGGGATGGTCACCTCCCTGACCTCACGCACAAGGAACAGCTCAACAAATGCATATTTCAACCTGTAATAGCGGAGACGACCAAAACTCCTCATTGGGGCACATTTGTAGATTCCCGTGGTAACTGGCTCAGAGAGAGATGCAGACAGGAAACTGAGAACCTTGAAAGAAAAGTGGCCATGAGCACCTCAAATATTGCCAATTGGTACAAAACAAAGTCTGATGTAAGAGAGGTGGCCGGTTAGCTTTTCCAACATGAGGCATCAAGCCAGCCAAGAAGATGCGCCACGGGGTTGTTCACCAACTCATTTACAACCCGACTTTGTTCACTTCCAGTCTTAGGAGTCAGGGGGTCACATCTACTGGGCATCACTTGGTGTAGAATCTTATGTCACTTTCCATGAACAGGCTCAGGCTGCATCTTCGTAGGTGCTCCCGAGGGAGGACAAGGGAGGCAAACTTTGGGCTATACTCTCGTTCACCATCTTTGACTACCCCCCCCCACCCCTGCCCACTAGGACAGACAGCAGCTGCTCTCCAGATTCCTGGGCATGCATCTTGCCAGGCAGGAGAGATGCGGTGAGCGCCAAGCCTAGTCAAGGCGTAGCCGAAGGCAGGACAGCAGAACGAGGGGTATGCAAGGTGCCATTTGTCTGTAGGTACAGCGTGCACACTGGCCAATCGGACAGAATGCCCCTGCTGGCTGAGGTCCTGGGCCACCTTGGTGGGGGTGTGGGGATACAGCGCAGAGCTTCAGGGGACCGCTGTCTCCTAAACCACTAAGTATGGAAATATATGGTGCTTTTAAGAACCACTGTGACCACCAGTGTGCCGGGCTGGAAGGGCAGCCCTGCTGGTAGGTTGAGCAACTTAGTCCCGGTTAGTCTGGAACCTACTGGTTTTCGCCTGGCACATCCCGTGCCCCCTGAGTCCTGACCCTTGTGCTACTGTGAATTACCTGGAAACCTTCGAAGGAGAGCTGTCTCTGCCAAGGGCTGGTGCTTGTTCCTTCCGCTGCTGAGAGCGCCCTGCGTGGAGGGGGTCAGAGGAGAGTCGGATCAGCAGGGGCTCTGAGGGGGTTCGCCCCACGCCCCTCCATGCACACCCTCCTCCCTTAGCTGGCTGAAGTCTGCAGGGTTCCAGTACCCTCGGAGATCCTGGGGAACAGGACCTGCCCCCACTCTGCACTAGCACTGTCCTCAAACGCTGTTCCAAAATATCCCCCAGGTCCCTCCAGGTAGCACCATGCTCCCCTGCTTGCAAAAACTGTCACCTCTGTCCCAGTGCTGCAGCTTAGCTACTTTTTTCTCACCCTTCGGGCCCCCTGGTTGGAAGCGCCCTTCTCAGAGATGGCTCCCCAGCCAGGCACAGGTGAGGCGAGGTGTCCTCCCTGAGTGTTTCCTGGGCACGCACTGCTATTGCGTGTTTAATGCCTCTCTCGCCTGGAACCGGAAGCTCCCCAAGGGCACAAGCTCAAGTGCCTGGCAAAGAGCAGACATTCTAGAAATGCTGAAAGAAGGACAAGACTAGACAGGAGACAAAGAGCACAGTGCTACCAGGATGGAACCCTTTCTGATACGATTCGGTTATGAATGGCTGTCATCTCAGCCTTTGCCTCAGTTCTCTGTGTAAACGTGAAGCTCTGCCTTCAGCTCTCCACCGTGACCCTAGGCAGGTGAGGGAAGGAACAGAGACTAAGGACTCAGTATCGCCAATATGGCTGTTAATTGTCCATTAATTCACTCCACACTCTTTCCCTTTGGGGCTGGGGGTGTGCCAGGCACTGCGGGGGCACAATGATGCATGAGACAGATGAGAGTCTTCTCTCTTGGTGTTTGGAGTGGCTCTCGCTAAACAAGCAGGAGATCGTTTCAGTTAGGGAGTGACATAAAGAAAAGAAAATAAGGGGTAATGTTTTCGAAAACGTGTTGGGGGGGAGGGGGGAATGACTGGGCTGTTTGGGGTGAATGGTCAGGAAAGGTCTCCCCAAGGAGGTGACAATTAACCTGAAACCTGAATGATGAGAAGAAACCAGCCTGGTGGATACCTGAGGGAAAAGGGATCCAGGCAGAGGGAATAGCCAGTGCAAAGGTCCTGAGGTCAGAAGAAAGCTGGCGTGTTTAAGCAGCAGAAAGAAAGGCAACAGGACAGGTTTTTCCTGAGGCAGGGCCCTGTTGCTCCTCTGTTCCCTGTCTCCTCCCACTGGCTTCGTCTTCCTCTGACCATCACAAGACCCTTCCTCCCCCCTTCTCAGTGATGTCTTCCTCTGGGTCTCCTAAAGACTCTGAGATTTAAAACCAAATGAAAACATACTGCCAACAAAAATGCTTATAAAAGTGCCACTCACTTTAGAATTTATAAAAACACAAGTCAAGCCAGTCCCATGACTTCAAAATGAATGGGATTTTTTGAGAAATAGCATGACCAGAAACTGAAGCTATCTGTCTACGTGAGGGGTCAGCAATCTTTCTGTAAAGAGCCAGGTGGTTACTATTTGGGGCTTTGCAGGCCATGGGGTTTGTGCCACAGCCACCGCCCTCTCCAGCTCGTGGGAGCAGCCACGGGAGTGGCTAAAGGAACGAGCAGGACCACATTCCAGAAAAATTCTATTGGCAAAAACAGACAACAGGGGGATTCGGCTCCTGACCCCGATCTACTTCATGATGATAACTACCATTAATCAAAACACATTGTTGTTTTAGCTCTAACTGTTGGCCAGGCAATCAGGATACTTTCTGGGTGCTTCTGTCTCATGGTGAAGCAGACATGCTGCACCAGGTACAGCAATGAGGAATGAACCCGGAGCACCTGACATGCACCGCATCTGTGTCTACAACTAGGGGTACAATTCTATAAAATCTGATATTCCAGTATTAAAACGTTTTTTACCTACACAATATTTTCCCTGGGCCAAGCCTAAGCCAGTTTGGCCTTTCGCAACTTCCTGGTTCTCTTCAGTAGATCTGGGCAGCCTCCCAAACTGTAGGTAGGAAGGCAAAGGTCTGCCAGGTGGCATGTCCCGTGAACGCAAGTCTCAAATGAAATTGTGCAAAGCATTTGTGAGCAAAGTGCAAACCTATAGAAGCGAGCAGACACAGAAGCAGGCATGCAAACTCTTCCTGAAAGTCTGTGAGGTCCCGCTCCATGTCCCTTAGACTCTCTGCAAGGGCCACGTGAAGCAGACACCAATAATGGAGCAACAGGGTTTAGCCAACACTCTCCGAGGACTGAAAGCAGACCTCCCCGCCCTGGTCCTAAGACAGAAGAGATTCTCATCCAGGGCAGTGCCATGGAGAGGGTGTGGATGCTGGGCTCGCTGGGCTTCTATTCCCTGTCCGTGCCCGGCAGATACACCTGCACAGGACACCTACCCAGACCGAGGTCTAGAACCACTCTTACCAGTGACGAAGGAGCCAACGACCTAATTAAAGGTTTCTGTAGCTTATAGCAGCACTTCTGACATCTGCATTCCTAAGCAAGTCCTTCCAATGTTGAAGTTTGAGTCCAAAGATCTACCTGCACACACACCTATTACAGTGTTTATACTGAAATATCTTTAGGTAATTATACATATCACATACTTCTCTTCTATTGAAATTGTGACGTTTAAAAATTCATCCCATTTTTCCAGTTACTGATTTTGGATTTTATTAAGTTGGAGGTAAAATAAGGTATATGACTTTTAGTTTCAATTTTGAAATTGTGGAATCCATGAATTTTTATATGCAAATAGTCATATTTAAAAGTTTAAGATAATCCTTAAACATTCTTCGTAGGAGAACTGTAGTATAAGAAAAGAAAACACATCTCTCCCATGTAAGAGCTCATTTCAGCTAATACCTTTGTAAGGAACGATGACCTAAAATTTACAGACAGTTACAAACACAAACGCGGGAGATGAACTGACCTCAAGCAGTCTTTCTATCCCAGCAAAATCAGGACATGAGCTTAACTAGAATGTAGGGCATATGAAAAATGAGAAACAGAAGAAAGTTTGCCATGTTTCAAAGCATGTTTGCATGAAAATGCAATGTACATTGAACAGTTTGGGGGATCGGGTCCCAAACCGGTGAGCAGATGACTGATTTTTACCAAATGAAATGGTCAAGACAATAACCCCGATTTGTGGAACTGGATGTGTGTATAGCACTCCGGAAGAGATGCCAAAGGACAACTGACCCAGTTAGTCTTTGCTGCACGCAAACAGCCCAACACTCCATGACTTCAAGTAACAGCCATTTGTTATGAGAGCCTGATGCCCGGGGGTGGCTGGGGGGCAGGTAGACGGGAGGGGACACTCTGCTCCTGCAAGCTCAGGGTGGGTGGGGACTCCACTCTGGGCTGAGCCTGGCTGGGACACTTTAGGCAAGGGAGCTCTGTTTCATGTGGCTTTCATCCACCCACAGGAACTATGAGTTAGCCTAGGTATGACCCTGTCATGCGGATGGCAGAAGCCAAAAAGGGCAAGTAGAACATAAGTGCTTTTTCCAGTCTATCCTTTCATCTCATTGACCAAGGCAAGTCACAAGCGGGGGGCCCGGGCAAGTTCTGAGACCTTCTGTGTCTCAGTTTCCCCATTTGCCAAGCAAGGGTGGTGTTCTCTGCTGCATGGGCTTCTCATGAGGCTTGAATAAACACGCGATACTAGGTTTTCTTCTAAAATATTCAAAGCAGTGCTCCTATTAGTCTCCGGGAGACTTGACATCTCGCAAACCTAATTTGGATTTTTATGTTCTCCACCCTGCCTTCACATCGTTACAGTATTTAGGTCCGTTAAATTAGGCTGGTCTCTGCATAGTGGACATTTTAGAGAGACTGGCCATCCAGATCTGCTGACCTGAACTTTGGTCCTTATACTTTACTGACACTTAGGTCAGAGAGAAAGCAGAACGAGAAGTGTGGCCTGGGAGTTATTTGCTGCAAACGAAGTAAATCCTAAGAATACCGAGGGGCAAACCTGCACTCCCCCAGCTCCTCTTGGAACGATGCCCTGGTCCTGCTCCCTCAGTGACTGGGCACAGACAGCATCACTCCTCCCTTCCCCCAGCCACCCTCTAGCCTCGGGTGATGTTCATCAGCGTCGACAGTTCCCACGACTCTTGTCTTTTTCAAATGCATTTGGGCACAGTTACAACCTCCCATGGATGCTACGGGGTCTCCCAGGCACACAGTCCGCTTCCCCTTCCTGCTTCCTGCCAGAGCCGTTTGCAGCAGGACAGACCCCGATCACTTTAGCCATCCTGAACTCCTTCTGCAGCACCTGGGACATCCTTGGCACTCAGTAACTATTCACTGGAAGAAGCAGAAATTAAAGGACTAGATGTTCCCATTCTCTACTGTGAGCAAATAAATGTTTACAGGAACATTTGGGGGACCAGAGCCCTGATTTGAGATATACGTGGGCATCTCTGCAGGAGCTCCCAAGATGACACTGAACACAGAATATGGGAGTTAAAATGACTTTAAAGGTCTTTTATTCTGCCCGCCTCATTTTACAGATGGGGAAACTGAAGCCCAGAGAAGCTAAGCATGTCCATCAGGCAAGCAGGATGAAAGGGGCATAAAGATCCATATTTCCTAGCAAATTTTTTTAAGATTTTATTTATTTATTTGAGAGAGAGAGATCATGAGCAGGGGGGAGAGGCAGAGGGAGAAGCAGACTCCCCCTGAGCAGGGAGCCCGATGCGGGGCTCGATCCCAGGACCCTGGGATCATGACCTGAGCTGAAGGCAGACCGACTGAGCCACCCAGGCGCCCCTTTCCTAGCAACTTCAAAGAAGCTGGAAATAGTTTTCTTTTTCTGAGGAGGAGAGCATTAAGTGAGGCACACGAGTGTTGCTTTTTAAACATCTGAACGGTGACTATATGAAGAAGAGCTTCTTAAGAGAACAAAAGTGTCCAAAGATGAAAGGGGTGCCCCGAGATGCAGTGAGTGCTGTCGCTGGAGGTGTCCAATTGCAAACTGAGAAATAACTTACAGAGAGGGGAGAAGCATCAACACAGGGGCAGGGGAAATGGCTAAAATGATAAAGACAGGAAAAAAAAAACAGTGTTGAGAAGATAGGGAGCAACTGGAACCCTTGCATGCTGCCTGTGGGAGAGGTAATGGTATGGCCACGTTGGAAAACCAGTCGGCAGTTTTCAATAAGGTTGAACTTATATCTACCCCGTGATCTAATAAATTCAGTCCTAGAAATAGGCTCCACAGAGAGGCACACGCTTCACCAAAAGACATACATGAGATGTTCATAGCAGATTATTCATAATAACCCCTATTTCTTCTCTGGGTCCTGAGTGCATAGTATGTTCAGTTTTCAATAATTCATCAAGGCGCACGGTTGTGATATATGTGCTTTCCGAGTGTATATTAAAAAAGATTTTCAATTTAAAAAAAGGTTTGCAATAAAGTTTACACATAAACAGGAGCAAGGCAGCTGTTGGTTTGTGAGCCTCTGATTTAGAACTAGCCCCTGGTTACAAAGTTAGATAACAGAACTGGGGTTGAAACCCAGGTCCCCAGCTCCGAGTGAGGAAAAGGAATTGATACTTAGTGATCGCTTTCTGTGTGCAAGACACATACAACATTCAATCCTCAGAATAATTCTCAGAGAAGGAATTATTGTGTTCATTTCTGCAGCTGAGAAAATGGGAGCCCACAGAGGGAATGAATTTAACTAGGATCAGACAGCTAGTCAGCAGTAACAAAAGTGTCATCTGGGCCCAGGCCTGTCTGATTCTGACCCCATGTTCTTAAGCTGCTCCACAGGCTTTAAATGCAAACATGGTTCTTCTTATACGAGCACTGCATGAGTGTAAAAATAAACGATAAGCCCCATGCTAAGAAATATTATCCTGTTATCACTGGCTTCGGCTGTCGGCAGCCAAGGCTGCTAAATCTTATTAGGGGATGGCTGTGCTGGCTGTTTCTGGGCGTGGGCACAGCCAGGAGGACACAGCCCTGGCCTCCTAGGGCTTTTTCTCTGATCAAGCAGGAGGAGGGTGGCGGGGGAGAGGACAGAGTGGGAGGAAGGTGAGAGGCGGGGTGAGGCCAGCACCCAGAAAGTGAAGGGGTCACGAGCCCGCTGAGCTGGAACCTGGGAGTCATGTGCCCAGCAGGAGCCACCTGCCTCTCCCGTCTGGTTCTTCTGAGATGCTCCTCTCCCTCGCCTCCACCCTCTGCCTCCGGTATGGGCTGTGAAAGGCAGGAGGTAGGTATTTCCTTATCCAGCGAAGAGAATGAAGCCGGGTGAAGGTCTGCCTTTCCGTACTTTGTGACAATTTCAATTCATTCTCAAGAGTTGAAAATTGGGAGTTACACGAAGGAAACTTACAGCTTATTGCTAAGTGAAAGCAGCCAGTCGGAGAGAGCTCCACAGTGTGTGGTTCCCACCGCGTGCTACTCTGCAGAAGAACAGACACAGCAGAACATCTGTGGTGGCCCGCGGTTGCCGGAGGGAACTGAGGAGGGATGGCCAGACAGGGCACAGCGGAGTTCTAGGGCCATGATGGGACTCGGGAGGACTGTATTGGTGAACACACGTCCTGATACATTTGCCCAAACCCACAGAGTGGGCAACACCAAGACTGAATGTAAACTATGGATTTGGGGTAATAACAATGTATCGATATTGGCGCATCAGTTGTAACATATGTAACAGGCTGATGTATGTACATGAATGAAGGGGGAAACTATGGGGCCGCCCCTGGGAGTCTATGGGAACTCCCTGTACTTTCTGCTCCATTTTTCTGTAACCTAAAACTGCGCTAAGAAATAGAGTCCATTATTATTATTATTATTATTATTATTTAGAAACGAATCAGGTAAGTTTATGGAAAAGTCTGGATTTCTGGCTTCATTGGAAAAAGTTGGGAACGCGGAGCCTGCATTCCTGGGTCTTCCGGAGTCCAGCAACAACCGCTCCTATTGAAGAAGCACAGCTTTTATTCTGGGGCTGCCTCTACTAGAACACCCCAGTTTTGCCACAGCCCAAATGAGCAAATGTCACCCTTTCATGTTGCCCGTCTGGACTTTGGAGTCATTGGAGTTTGAGATCCCTAGGGTAAGATCAGCAATTTAGTGTAATGGTTTTCCAACTGGGTTCCGACGGGGCCCTCCTCCTGGGGTGTTGGGGCGGGGGAGGAGCTCTGGGCTCCTGACTGCTCCTTCCCCTTATCCGCTGGACCTACTGGACTCACCATATAAGGCGAATTCCAGTAAAGCTGAACTAAAAAGAGAATAAAAGCCTAACGAGCAGCAGGTCTGTAAGATGCATTTGGCAAACGAGACCCCTGCACCCAGCCCTTAAACTTTCAAGATGCTCACTCCTGTTAGAGAGTGTGGGAAGGCAGACGGAGCCCCATGGGCACCTTGCCGCTTTGGGAAGCCATTCAGGATTCTTCCATGAAGCTGCTGCCAGGGTTCAGGCTCCAGGCTCGGAGCGTGCTGGCCAGCAGGGGCACCATCTCTGCCCTGCTTTGGGCTGCTTCCACATCACACGGCTCCCACCACGTCAGGCTGCTCTTAGAGCCTTGTGGCTAGTCTTAATTTTCAGGAAAGAAGCTGTCATGAAATTGGTGTCTCTCCAGAGTGTCCGTCTTCTACGTGTGTCCTACATCGGCGCCTTTCTTTCGGAAGGTCGGCCACATGTCACCCACCGGTTGCATCCCATAAATGTTGATAAGCGAGCATCACGTGCCAGATGGTTTGCAGGAAGCTGGTCGTTGTCCTTGGGAAGCTCGTCGGTGACTGTGTGACAGAGAGCTGGAGGACAGTGTGGCGGCCCAGTGAGAGGGTGGGCACGGGGCCAGAAGGGCACAGGAGGGGGGCAGCTAACCCAGGAGGGTGACGGCTCAGAGTTGAAACTGAGCTGACTCTTGAGGAGCAAGGGGGCACTTGACCTTAAGGCAGGATATGCTGGCAGAGGGCATGGCCCGGGCCCGGGTGGGAAAGACCACGCATGCTGGAGCGCGGGCACGCGGCTACTGCTGGACCGAGACCGTTTGCAACTGAGAAAGAGGGAGCCCCGCAGCTGCTTAGTCTGAGGGCTTTCGGGGGTGGAGGAGGGAAGGGAACCCTAACCCTCTTATCAGATCAGCAGAGCCCGTGCTGCCTCCACTGGGTCTGCCCTGTCCTTCTCAGGTTTTGTCTGCAGCTCCCCGTCGGGGCGCGTGAGCCACACCTGCCATTCGTCCCCTGCTGGAGTGCGCTGGTAGGAGCGAGGTCACAGGGGTATGATGTCTGCTTGTCACCTGTCCCTCCTCCATGATTTATTCGGGTAGGCTGTCCGACTTGTGCTCTTCACACATCAACTTCATCCTCATCTTCCAGGGGCAGGGCTGGGAAGACTTTAGAGAAAGAGTTGTTTCCAGATCCATGGCTTGGGGGGATGGAGGAACATTGCAAAATTATACACAGCGTTTTGTCAGTATGGGCATCTCTCCTGGGGAAAGTCTCCCAAGCTTTCATCAGAGCAGGTAAGGTTAAGGCCCAGTCACATGTTCCAGAAGGACCTTGAGGTCTCAGGAAGCCCTATAATCAGGCTTAGGAGTGGGGATCAAGGCTCTGCTGACCTCAGACATCAGAACTGAGGTTCATTAGGATGTGGGGGGACAGTGAAGGGCATGGCCACAGGACCCGTTCTTAAAATGGGAACATTGTAGGAGGAGAGAGAAAGGATGCAGGGTGAGAAGAATTTCAAATGACGACCTTCCAGCAAGCTACTGCTGGTGGTCTTGCTGGCATATTCTTCCCACGGCTGACCGGTCCTTTCTTCGCGAGTTACAAACCAACCGTTGTGATCACTGTCCATGTGCAAAAGCAGACACCTTAGCAGAGCAGATGTTTTGGAGGACCACAAACACACGTCTCAGGGTACACCCCCAGCCTCTGTTTCTCTGATAGCTCAGTTTCGACAGAGTCCACCTCTGCTGGACCAGCTTGGCTGCGTGTGGGATTAAGTGATTATCTAGGAGTGCTCGCTTTGCCCCGGAACCCTCCGCCGCGAGCCGTTCTGCCCTCCCCGGCCGCCATCCTGAGGTGTTCATTAAGATTTCATTTGAATAAAAGGATTTGCTGTTAGAACTTTTTTTTTTTAATCTAATAACATAGGGACACACTCTTCAGACTTAAGCCTGGGCTCTGCTCAGTCACTGGGGAGAAGCAAAGGTAGAGAGATACCAAAAAGCTGCCAGAGGACCCCCTCCATAGACCCAGTGGGTTTGCAACCTGTAAATATCTATTAGATTCCTCTCAATTTTTAATCACCTCACCTTGCCATCGGTCAAAAGTGTCAAGCCTCTACAGACTGGGAGTCAAGGTGTGGTAGATCCGTGGGCCTGTGCATGCCGTCGAATCGGGGGAGCAAGCCAGGGAGGAATGGAGAAGAACACTGCAGAGGCACCTGTCATTGGATGGTAAGAAACAGGATTTGGAATTGGGAGATCTGAGTCTGCCACTCGTTAGCTAAGTCACCTCGAGCAGGTCACAGCCCCTCTCTGAGCCTTGGTTTCTTTTTCTTTCTTTCTTTCTTTCTTTCTTTCTTTCTTTCTTTCTTTCTTTCTTTCTTTCTTTCTTTCTTTCTTTCTTTCTTTTTAAAGATTTTATTTATTTATTTGACAGAGAGAGACACAGTGAGAGCAGGAACACAAGCAGGGGGAGTGGGAGAGGGAGAAGCAGGCTCCCCGCCGAGCAGGGAGCCCGATGTGGGGCTCGATCCCAGGACCCTGGGATCATGACCTGAGCCGAAGGCAGATGCTTAACAACTGAGCCACCCAGGCACCCCCGAGTCTTGGTTTCTAGATCTGTGAAATGAGGGAAAGAGCAATCCCATGCAGGGGGTGTTGTGAGGGTCAGAGTCGTGCATCCTTCACTCCTGGGTGCCCAGACTACAGCCTAGAGGGAAGTATGAAGACCAAGGGTACAGCTTCTGCCCTAAGAGGCTCACAGTCTAGGAAATAAGCAATTATAAAACAGTTCGATGGGCAGGGAGCACAGGTAGACGTGGCCTAAGGGGGCTGCAGACTCCCTGCCCATGTGGCACGGCCCTGGCCTTGTCCTGCTGTTCCCACAGGGCTACCTACCCTCCCTCGCCTGGGGGCTTCCCCTGCCCCCTGGACCCCACTCTGCCTGGCAGGTGGAAGGAGGAGGATTCACCTCCCTAGTAGCCCTCAACCTACTAATGACAGAGGTGTGTTAACACAGAGGTTCCTTGAGCCTCAGCTGGGGAACCCCCAAGGGAGCATCCTGCCTATTTCTAATTCAGGAATTCCCCTGCCAGACAAGGCCAGTTGCCCACAGGGTGACTTGCATAGGCTCACCTCCCCCCCCATTGACTCCTTCTCTTCCTTATTTCACTTCTCGGCTCCCTTACCAACAAACACTTCCCAGGATTATTCCCCAATAAACTCCTACTGCTCAAATCCTGGTCTGGGCACCTGCTTCTAGGGAAACCCGCTGTAAGATGGTAGGCACCCAGGCCCCCCAAGGGAGAGCCCGGACACGGAGTCTCTGGGAAGAAGAGGTGCTGAACTGAGCTCTGAGCCCCTGAAAGCACACACGCCTGACCAACCCTAAGTGCTGGGTATGTGTGTGTAAGAAGTCAGGGTCAGTGTCATTATCATAAGGGGAAATGGACCACAGCATGGTCTTAAACCAGAGCCTGTCCAGGAGCAATTTGCTACTGGTCCAAAGACGGAAATGATGGTAAGCATTAGTCTACTGCAGATCAGAAATCAAACCAAACCAGCAAACCTTTCCTTTAGGTAGTCTGAAGTACACGTTTAGAATACCTCATTCCCTTCTTACATCTTTTCTGTTTGCTGTGTCCCTAGTGTTTTCCAGGGCAGGTTAACCTAGAGAAAACACAAAGTTCAAGGGCCCCTCACATGGCATCAGCCTCAGGCCTCCGGGATCGTGGGCTGCACAGGCTTCTGGAGGGACCTCTGCCAGCCCCCAGCTTTGCTCCTGCACTGCCCCTCAGGAGGGCCTGGGGGGCTACCTCTGCCTGGCCGACTCATCCCCCTTGGCACAGCTGACCCACGAGCACCAGGAAGCCAATTAGTAGAATGGCGTCCAGAAGACTGAGCACCAAATAACATCAGATGAAAGGGGCTGTGGTATTTTATCTATCAGAGCCGATGTGTCAGCAAAATTTTGAGCATATTTCTAGGCATAGGCTGGAACATCATTAAACTTGATGTGCAACCTCTCTCCACACCACCACTCCCTCCACCCCCTCTACAACGGCCAACGTAGCCCGGGGCCTGACACACAGTAGGTGCTCAAGAAAAGTTTTAAGTGCATGCGTGAAAAATCTATTAGGATTTATGTTTTGAACCCAGAGCCTCTCCACCTACATTGACTCCTTCCCAACAGAATTCAAATCCCAGTTTCCACCCCCCAAAAATCACAACCCCCCCACTTGTCTTCCTCCTCCTCCCCATCTCGCTCCTGTACCTCATAGACAAAGTTCTTGAAAGAAGGACCCACTATCCTTACTTACTATCACCTTTATCCCTCAAATTGCCCGGCTCTGGCTCCCATCCCTCTGAAGCTGCTCTGACCAGCGTCTCCAACAGCCTTCTTGTCCTGAGACCACATCAACCCATCTCAGGTCTGTATCGTACTCGCCTTCTCTACCCTGTTCCGTCCTTACCAACACTCCCTATCCCCTCCACTGTTCCTCTCCGCTCTCACGACGGCCCCTCAGTGAGCTTTGCCAGTCTCCCCTTTTCTGGCTGTTTCTTCAATGTAGATTTTCCAGGATTCTTTCCCACGTCTTCTGTTCTCACTATGCACACTCTTCCTGGGTGACGGAAACATTTATCACAGATTTGATTACCATCTATATGCCGATGGCTCCTAAAGCCATATCCCAGTCTGGAATGCTGTTTTTAACTCTAGACCCAGAAGTTTCTAGGTCTAGACTAGTAGGCAGGGTATCTGGGTCTAGAGCTAAGAGCCTGCGTCTCCTCCTTGACCTCAGCACGATGATGATGCTAATAGAATCCACTTGACCGGCTTCTACTAGGCAGGCACGTGAGGAGGCATGCCAGCCAAAATTTAGATAGCCTCTCTTCTCTGGGCAAAGAGGGACGCTGGGGTTTTAACTGCAATGTGACAGAAAATGAAGGCTATCAAGAGACATTGACAGGGATGAGCCAAAAGGGTTTCTTGCTCCTATATTAGTTTTCTGTGGCCGCAGAACGTATGACCACAAAGTTGATGGCTTTGACCAACACAAATCTGTTATCTCGCACTTTTTGTGGATCAGAAGTCTGGGCATGGGTTACCTGGGTCCTCTGTCAGGGTCTCACCAGGCTGAAATCAAGGTGCCGGGGGTGGGGGGGCTCCCACCTGAGGCTCCAGGTGATTCTGGTCCTTGGCAGAATTCTCTTCCTTGTGAGCTGGGGACTTAGAGTCTTTTTCAACTACACTGATGTCAAGATCCTCTCAAACCTGAACTTGTGTTGCTGAACTTTTTTAACCTACTGGTTTTCATCGGGTTTCATTCCTCCTGCGGTACGTGTTTACATCCTTTCACGAGTGAGTCTGCAACATAATGTGTGAGCTCGTCTTCCAGTTCTGGGTCATCTGTAGAGTTGATAAGCACAATGTCTTCCTCTTCACCCAGATATTAATCAAGTGTTTAAGGGACAGGCTGAAGAATTGAGGTTTTTGAGGTTGACATGACAATTTCAGTAATCTGACAGTTTTTAAAAACTTACTCACTTAATTGAACTAGCACCCGTGCCTCGTGAAAACTGAGATATGGAATGTCTGTAGACATCCTCTATCCAGAACCTAGTCATTCTCTTAAAAATGGAGATGAGATTAATGAGAAATAATCTCTCCTTAGAAAAACCATGCTGATTCTTAGTCATTACTAAGGATCACAAACCATCTGCTAAATTCATAGCTTAGTGTTTTTTGGGGATTGATGCTATTATAATTGTTCCTGGAATATACACCTTCTTCCCCTTCCTGAAAATCTTTAGAGTGTTGGGAACCTCATTTAAGTATCCTTTCTGAAGTCTCCTTTATGTAAATAATTGACTTATATGAATATTCTTCCTAACAGATTTTCTTAAAAAAATTAACTTTTCCAAAACAGCAAATCAGCAAGGTCCTAACCAAGTTCCCAGCCACTATTATTTATAACTCATATGCCTCCAGAAGATAGCTAAATATACCAAGCTTGTGAAATACACTATGGAACTGGAAACTGTGGAGAACAAAGGCAGGTAAATCGTGACCTTGGGGTCAGCAGTGATGGAAATGAGGCCACTTGTTTTTCTTTGTTCTTATTTTGAGGCAATCTTCTCCTCACTTTTTCTGAAGCCCTGGGATATCAGGGTCCGACTTCCATTTTTATTCTGATGAATACATCATTGTAGTAAGATCTGAGTAGCCCAAAGGAGATGTAAATGAATTGGAAGCCTCTCTGGTCTCTGGTGCTGGGTGAAAGCCCTTTGGGATTTGGTCTTGATGAAGTCCAGAATTAATGAAATGTAAATTACAGGAATCAAAGCTTATTACTGATAATAAATGTGTATAGAATGTTTGGATAGTTAGATCTGTCCATTTCATTACAATATCAAATATTCATTGCATCTTAGAATTAGCTGGGGTTTAGGGTAGTGGTTTTGTTTTGTTTTGTTTTGTTTTTTAATCCATGTGTCCTGGGCATGAACCAGGCACAGCCCAAAAGCCAAGCTGGGATAAACAAGGACTTGCTTTGTCCCTGGCCGATATGAGGCAGGCACTACCACCAGATGCCACTCTACCCAGGTCAGGGACTTCGGGTAATTTTTTTTAATTTAAAATATAAGGCTTTTTAAAAAATAGAAAGCATTTTCAAATTTAAAATAGAAAGTTTTTTTGAAAAATATGAAGCATTTTTAAATTTAAAATATAAAGCTTTTTTTTTTTTTTAAATAGAAAGCATTTTTAATTTAAAATATATTATGTAGACAAGTTTAACAAAAGGCTGTAAAGTGAACACCTACTCAATCATGCCCTGGGCCAAGAAAGAGCCTACTAACAGTCCCTCAGAAGCCCCCTCAATATTCTTTACCCATAGCAATCCCTCCCTGCTCTCAAGAGTGACCACTTTACTTTCATAGCTTTTCTTTGTAGGTTTGTTGCCTGTGGATGCATCCCTACTTTTACCTGTTTCTAAACTGAAAATGGAGCTCCATTGTATTACTGTGACTTGCTATTTTTTGCTCAACACTGCAAGACTCATCACATTGTTGCATACATCTAAAATATTCCTTTCTTTGCTGTCTATGCACTACACAGTGAACATTTAGTTTTCTTCTGGTTCTTGGTCATTATGAAAAGCACTGCTAAGGACACTCTTTTCTACTTATCTTAGTGTGCATAATTCTGCACATCTGGAGGGAACCTGGAATAGTCCACTTTCCTAAATGATGCAACGTTGTTTTTCCAAAGCAGGTGTACGTTCTTGTTATCAGGAGTATAAGTTTCTGAAGTTTCTGAAGCTCCACATCATAGCCAACACTTAGTACTGTTAGTCTTTTTCATTTTACCAATCACATTGGTGTTGATTCCATCTCATTGTGATTTTAATCTGTGTTGCCCTGATTAACAATCAGGTTGAGCACTTTTCATGTTTACTGACCATTTGGATATCTATCCCTCAGAGGTCCATGTTCACATCTTTGTGCATTTTTTCCCCTCTCAGTTTGTCTGCCCTTTCTCAATTACTTTTTTAGATTCCTTATATGTTCTGGGTACTAGCCCCCTTTTTTTAAAAAAAAAAATGCCACATATGTGAGGAAAAAATGAAACAAGATGAAACCAGAAAGGGAGACAAACCATAAGAGACTCTTAATCTCAGGAAACAAACTGAGGGTTGCTGGAGTGGAGGGGGGTGGGAGGGATGGAGTGGCTGGGTGATGAACATTGGGGAAGGTATGTACTATGGTGAGTGCTGTGAATTGTGTAAGACTGATGAATCACAGACCTGTACCCCTGAAACATATAATACATTATATGTTAATAATAAAAATAAATAAATTCTCCATCAGGCAAAAAAAAAATGCCATATATGTTATGAATATGTTCTCCCAGTCTGTGGTTTATATTTTAATTCTTTTTTATCTTTTGATGAACGGGACTTAAAATTTTTAGTATGACTCAATTTATCTCTTTTCCTTTATGCTTACTGTCTTTTCTCTCTTATTTAAGATATTTACTCCAAGGTTATTAAGTTGTTTTCTTAGGGGTGCCTGGCTGGTTCAGTCAGTGGAGTGTGCAACTCTTGATCTCGGGGTGGTGAGTTCAAATTCCACGTTGGGTGTAGAGATGACTAAAAATAAAATCTTTAAAAACTATATATATTTTTTCCCATGGTATCTTCTGAAAGCTCAGTATTTGGCATTTCATATTAGTTTTTTAAGCCACCTGAAGCTGATTTTACATACAGTGTGAGAAAGGGATATAATCTCAGTTTTTTCCAATATGGAGATCTTACCATCACCATCCACCTTGAACACTGTCCTTTACCTACTGCCGCCTCTGCCACGAGCAAGTCCATACCTGTGAGGTCCGTTTTTAAGTTCTCTCTTCTCTTTCACTGGTTGATTTTTTATCTTTGCATAAATGCCACACCATCTTGTTCACCAAAATACCATGAGATCTTGATATCTGATAAAAAAAAAATCCTCTTATGTTTTTCTTTTTCTTCAAACAGCAGCTTGTCGAATTCTACAAAATAAACATACTGAGATTTTGACTGGGATTGCACTGAGCCTATAGCTCAGTTTCGGAGGAACTGACATTTTGAAACTAGTGATTTTTCCAATCCGAGAACATGGCATAGGGCCCTTCCAATGTTCTTCAGTATTCCTCAGGAGGCTTTAAAGCTTTACTTTTGGACTATCCATGCGCATCTTTCATAGATCGATGCTTAAAGGAATTGATGCTTTTGAGATCATACTATAATTCATGTCTTTTAAAATTCTATTTTTAACTGTTTTGTGCTAACAGAGAGAAATACAATTTTTATGTATTTTTTTGTTTCAGTAGTAGTTTAAAACTCTAGGATTTTTAAAAAAGATTTTATTTATTTATTTGACTGGGAGGGAGAGAGAGAGCACAAGCAGGGGGAGTAGCAGGTAGAGGGAAAAGCAGGCTCCTTGCTGAGCAGGGAGCCTGACGTGGGGCTCAATCCCAGGACCCTGAGATCATGACCTGAGCTGAAGGCAGACGCTTAACTGACTGAGCCACCCAGGTACCCCAAGACTCTAGGATTTTTTATGTATACGTAATAGCATCTGAGAAAAAGGACAATTTTTTTTTTCCTTCCAGTCTACGTGCCCTTTATGTCTTTGTCTTCCTTATCGCCCTGGCTAGGACCTTCGGTACAATGTTGACTTATAAGTGCAGACTCCTCTTTCTTTCAAAGGGAACCTTTTTATGTTTTACCATTTAGCATAAGGTTTGCTGTCGATTTTGTGTTGATTTATTTTATCCAATGAAGCCTGGAAAACCTAAAATCCTTAGAAGAGGCCTGGGCATAATTTGGAGCTTCTTTCTGGAAACAACAAATGTGGTAGTCAGTCCCATCAGCTCACTCTGACTCCTTCTAGAATAAGCTGCACTCATTCAAAGCCTGTACTTACACAGGCCTTCTAGCTGGGACCCCTGCTTCCAGTTTGGTCCCCCCCACACGGCTGTGAGAGCACACTCTAACATGTTAATCGGATCATGTTACTCCTCTCTAGAAACCTTCCAAATCCCAGCCTCGTTGGTCGAATGTCAAACTCCTGAATCTGCCCGAGAAGGCCCTTCATGCTCTGGTCCCTACCACCTCTGAAGTCCTTCCAACCAGTGACTTCCCGTCCACGGCACCCTCCCGCTTGAGTCATCTTGAACCACTTAGAGTTTCCCAAGTGTCCCTGTTGACCTTTATTTCCTACAAAATTGGCATATTTATAGGGCTGTCATGAGAAGTCAATAAAATCAGGTGTAGAACTAGAATGAAATCCAGATGACCTATTTATTATCTATTAATGTTATAAATGTTAAGATTGATGGATCCTGAGTGTATCAGTCGGGTTGGGCTGTTATAACAAAATACCATAGCCTGGGTGGCTTAAACACAGAATTGTTTTTCTCATAGTTCTAGAGGCTGGGAAGTCTAAGACCAAGGTCCTGGCCAATTCAGTTCCTGGTGAGGGCCTTCTTCCTGGCTCGCAAATGGCATCTTTTTGCTGTGTCCTCACAGGGCATGGGAAGAGAGAGGGAGAGAGAGAGGGAGAAGAAGGGAGGGAGAGAGGAAGGGAGGAAGGGAGGAGAAGGAGGGAAAGAGGAAGCTCTCTTCTTATAAGGACACTAATCCCATCATAAGGACCCAGCCCCCATGACCTCACCAAAACGTAATCGCATCCCAATGACCCCACCTCCATCACACAGGGGGTGAGGGTTTCAGATAGGAATTTGGGGGGGGGACACAATTCAGCCCATAGAACTGAGCAAAGCGGGTAATGATTTATTATGGCTATCCAGCCATTTGTCCAGCATTCCGCTGCCATTTAGCACCCATGAGAGCAGGCGTTTCATGTTCAAATCAAGATATCCTGCACATAAAACACTAATATCTACACTTTGTTTGGGTGGAAGTGAGGGAGATGGACAGTTGGGGAGTGTTGAGGAATGATGGGAGAGACAGACAGTTCATGGAAGGGTCCTGTATTACAAAAATGTATGGATTTTATCCTCTGAATGAGTAGGATCATGAGAAAACAGAATCAGTGAGACATTCACACGCAGTTGGCTGTTAGCTTTAAGGGCTATAAAAATGCTCATCCTAATGATCCCATTTGGGGAATTTATCCCAAGAAAATAACCAAAAAGATAGAGAGAGGTATACATGCACAAAGATATTTATTCCATTATTTACAATAATAAAACCTGGGAGAAACCCTCAGAGGAATACTTAAGTAGTTATTAAATAAATGCTTGTTGAATGAACCAAAAAATACTTCCTGAATTTAAAGCAGCAATTAAAACAGTGAAGTCCAGGTTAATAGCATGGAAAAATCATTGAAGTAGGCAAAATAAAATATAAAATTAAAACTACACAACACTGCAACTCTATAAACACAGTGACAAAAGATGGACCCAACTAGAAGCAAATGCAGATAAAGACGACAACAGACCACTTGTTAGGTTCATGCAATTATGTGCCACTGACATACCATATTTACAAAAGACACTGCCGTTTTACAAACAAAAAACAACCAGTAAAAGGTAATCTGGCTCGCTGCCCTCACAGCCTCACAAAGTAGCTTTTGTTTGCAGCCAGCCTGAAAAAAACACTTGGCTTTCAGTGACAGTGAATGGATGAAATATTTGGGGGCAATATGGTGGAAAGAAGTATTTGTTTTACAGGGAAGCATGGGACAGTGGTAACTGGGGAGGAGGAGGGTGAAGGAGGAAGAGGGTTTGGTGTGTTCGATGAACTACACGCTTGGGGCCAAAGCATCCACCGTCTCCAAAGCAGGATGAGAAAGAGGGCCCTCATGTTAAGAAGTCAAAGGGAACCTGAACAGTACGATCATGGCTGAGAAGACCTGTGCTTATGCTCACTGGAAACAAATACTGGAAAGAAAGATAACCAGGTACTTGGCAATAGTTATGCCATTACTGGATTTTGCCATTATAGTTCACCTGGTAATAGGTCTTCTCAAGGTGTTGTCGTCAAAGCTCAGAGCTAGATGAGGAGACAAGGGCTCAAGGGGGTGAGGTGACTCGGCTGAGGTATACCGGCGGTGTTCAGCACTGCAAGAGAAACTCGGGCTTCAGAGTCATGTGGACTGAGTCTCCACCTCCAGAACTACCACTTTCTAGCCATGTCTCAATCATGCATTCCCTCAAACAACAATTCTGAGAGTGTGTGCCCCTGAGCGAGTCATCCAGTCTTGCCCAGCCCCCATCTTCTTACCTCGCCTCTACAATGTGGTGAAGGCCTCTGGGCGGTCATGTGTGGGTTTCGCTGCTCAGTGTGTACTTCATCTTCCTCATAACCGCACCCTCCTCGAGAACCATCTGTCCCCAGCAATCAGTCCACGCGCTCCGCATAGGCCCCAGGTCCTCGAGCACACCAGGTTCTCCTGGATGTGGGCTCTGGGTCAGGGAGGTAGTGTGACCCATGAGAGGTGCTGAGGGGTGAGGTTTGGGCAGGAATGGAGGACGAAGTGAAGCAGATCCTCCTCCCCAGTGGATCTGAAGCTGAGAAGGAAAGGCGGGAGCTGCCACCATCTTGGCCGACACATTCACACCGAGAGCCAAGCCAGTGCAGAGGGAGGGCCAGCTTGAGATGGGAAACAGAGAAACTGGGCCTTGGAGACACCCTGTAAGCCCCAAATCAAGTCGTGATTGAAGCCAGCCCTTCCTTTTGGTTGTTGAGCCAAGACATTCCTTGTGTTTGTGTTTTTGTTTGGCTTACGTTAGTTTGAGTTCTATTTCGCTTAAGATAGTTTGACTTGGATTTTCTTTCACTTGCTACCCAGAGTGTCCTAACAGAACAACCTCTCTTGTGGAGAGAATGTGGACACAAGGCCAACCATAGCACCCGACGCTGAGTAGCTGGTTTAACAAATGTTGGATTCACTGTCCTCTCTTTCTCCCTCCCAGACATTCCATCTCTTCCTTCTTCCCTCTTTCCTTTCCTCACCAAGTTCCCTCCTTCCTTGAGGGCCCTATCCCGACGAGTTCTCTTTGGCTGGAAGCACAGGGACAAGGAATTCTCTCCTCCTCCTTGTAAAACTCTGACACAAGCCTCAAGGCAATATGCTCTAGAACTCACCATCCCTGGGTTGTGAACTTCTTTGAAGTCAGACCATACGAACAGGGACCCCTCACAATTTTTACAGTTTTATCATGGGCTCTCACATCCAGGTTTTTGTTTGGTTCAAGTTTAGCTGCGCGCCACGTGACAGGGCAAGGTGTTCTTATCATTGTCCCCATTCCTCAAAGGAGGAATCAGTTCCCAGGTTCACAGAAGGGAAATAAGTTCAACAGATTAAGTACAGGAAGCAGGACACAAACAGGTCCCATTGTGAAACCCACCATCCTTCCACTTTCCAGCCATTTCCTTCTTTAAAGTAACATGTTCATGTGCGTGGATCCTGTGGTGCTCCAGCCAGAGCCCCTCCTCAGGGCCTAGGCACCAGATGCTGGACACACTGGCGTTGACTTTGACAGCCATGTCCCTCACTGGGAATTGCTCTCAGGAGCAGGGACTGCCCCACCCAAGGTTATATGCCATGGCCACTGACTGGCCACCTGGCTTCCATTCGGAACAAATGAAAGGCCACTGCAACCCCAGAGCTCCCTGCAGAATCCTGCCATCTGCCAGGTTTGAGAGGGTCGTTATAAGGGGTCAGTCACTGTGCAAGTTCAACGTGGGCCATAGAAGCCATAGATCCTTCAGCGGGTCTGAAGGTGCTTAAAGCATCTATGGCAGGCAGGGGTGCGGTGGGGATGCCTTTGGGTTGGCGGAGGCCTCTGTCACAGCCGCACTGGAGGGAGGACAGCTTCTCCCTCCAGGGCCCCTGCCATCCCTCCTTCCTTACAGGAATCTCCTGAACACGCGCCCCAGCCGACTTTTGACATGCAACTCTCCATCTCTGAGTCTGTGT